AAGAACTTAAACATTATAAGTGCAAATAACTAGGATGGCCCTGGGGAGGTGCAGGACCAACAGAAGTTGCATCCTGACAGCAGTTTCATACACAGCAGGGCTGCAGATTTACTTACACAACCCTCCATCAATCCAGGGAAGAGGAAGTTTCAGTATTTTTCTCATTTATTAATCTCTCCTACGAGCTCCGAATTCCCCTTGCAAGCAGGAAGAGGGAACTAGAAATTTTAAAAAGTTCAATTCTATAATCACAGGCCAACCCAAAGTCTGAACAGAGTCCTTAGGTAATCTGACATCTTTGGGATAAATGTTCAATCTTGGAGATCTCCTTCTATCCCCCAAGATGAATGTTCAAGGAAGGGACGGGGTCCTTGATTCTGCACAGTGTCCCCTACTACAAAACACTTGGAGTGAGCATTTCGTGGACTGGTGACCCCTCGGAGCAGCCATCACCTCCAGAGGCCTTAGTGTCTCCTGCAGAAGCCATGGCCGGGCTGGGGTGGGCTGGGCTGGGCCTTGGCAGCTCCACCATGGCCCAGTGGTTCTCCCTGGCTGACTCGATGAAGTTCTGCCAGACCCTTCGTCTGGCTGCTGGGATCATCTTCCTCTTGCCTCGCCAGGTTTGAAAGCAGACACATTGGCTCCTCTTTATCCCCTTCCCTAACCCTCTCAGAGTTGAGGGAGACATCTGGGAAGTCTCCATACCACACAAATTGGTGCAAGAGTTGACTGGGAGCAAGAGGTAATTTGGTCCCCTTCAGAGTCCCCTACCTAAATTGAAATAAAAGCCCCCATCTTATCCATTTCACCCATCCCCCCGACCTCTCAAGCCTCTCTCTTTGTCTTCCTACAATCTCCCAAACCAAGAGTGAATTTTCACTTACTTCTGTCTCATGCACCACTAGGTTTATGACTGAGGCATCTAAGAAAAGCCAGATTAACAAGAGCAAAGCATACAAATGCATGTATTTATACATACAAAAATATGAAGCTCATTACTCTGAGAAGAAAAGATCTCTGCCAAATTCTCAGAAAGTCCCCTTAAAAACAGACAAGGAATGATTTCAGGGTGCCCTTGTATAAGTCAACACAGATGGCATCTGAATTTGTACACAATTGGGATGCATAACTCTATCTATAGGAACAAGGTGTGCAAAACTCTGATTCCCCAGACTTTGACCACAGGAGAATAGGATGTGACTGTTATGCTAATGATCTCATTAATATCCTGAATACAATTAACAAATGAAGTCAATTACCACTGGCAAGCATTCATTACAAAGAGATAAGTTGCTGAGCTCCAGCCACACAAGTAACTATTTTGTTGCGTTTGTCCGGAAGCTTTCTTTTCATCTTTGCTCATTTATTACCACTAAATGGGTAAATGCCTGGGAATGTGAGCTCAGCTCATTACTTATATATATTACCTTGATTATAATTTGACCTCATGCACATTTCAGTTAGAAGAATCCTACAAAATATCACTTCTATTTATAACACAGCCTCATCTGCCAGGTCTATAGGAGAAAGCCTAATTGGAGAGAATAAAAGGTTACCTTCGCGTGTAAACTGCACATTCATTTAGTCATCGATTTTATTTCTTTCTAATTATCAGTGGTTGTGCATCTCCCAGTAGCCTGGAAATCATTGTTTTTCTTCCTAATAACTCCTGAGAAATGAGAACTCTAATGATCAGATCAGTAGTTTGGGAAATTGTGGCCTCAATGTGCTGTTTGTTGGAGCTGTTGAAAATTAATTTCAGGACTCAAAACTTTAACTTTCGTAAGACTGTGGTTCTGAGGCCGCAGGCTTGAGACCTGTTCATTATCTGTGTCATGAAGTGTTCATGTTCATTATAGCTTAAAATAAAATAATATTTTTTTCAAATACAACAGAAATTAATTTCCTGATTAGGTATCAGCCCTAGACAGGTGAGTAATACGATGGGATGACCCTTTTATTTTTAATTTCAGAGGAATGTGAGGGTACAAACAACTGGGTCACAATGTTTGCATTTGTTAGGTAGACTCCCTCCTATAATTACGTTCCACACCCAGGAGTGGTACTGAACGCCCTACACGGTGCCCATTCAGTGGGAGCACCAACCCCTCTCCTTCTCCCCTTTCCCCTCTCCCCAACTTGAATTGAATTGAGTTTTTCTTTTATGTGAGTGTGTATTAGATCATCTACTGGCATCGTATTAGTATTGAGTACACTGGATACTTGCTTTTCCATTCTTGTGATACTTTACTGAGAAGGATGTATTTCAACTCAATCCAGGTTAATACAAAAAAATGTAAAGTCTCCATCTTTTTATGGCCTAAATAGTACTCCATGGTACACATGTACCACAGTTTAATTCATTCCTGAATTGATGGGCATCTAGGTTAAAATGATCCTTACCAGAGCTCCCCAAATGAAATATATGCCTTGTTACAGGGAGCTTTTCTTGCTACCCATTCATAAAAAGTGAAATCATGGTTCCCGGGTGTGGGTTTTAAACTCTGTGAAGAAAAGGATGAAGCTGATCTCTCCTTGGAGCCATCCAGTTCCCAATCCTCAGCTCAGATGGTGTGCACAGTCGCTGAGTCCCACCTTGTATCAGTCATCTCAGGCTATCGTAACAAAGGGCCACCAACCAGTCTGCCCCATGCTCAGGCTCCGGCAAGGGCTCTCTTCTTACCTTACAGGTGGCTGTCTTCCACCGGGTCCTCGCATGGTGGACAGAGGACTCTGGTGTCTCTTTCTTGCCTTATAGGGACAACAGTGCCTCAGATCAGGGCTCCACCCTTATAACCTCATTTAACCTTCATTGCCTCTTTCAAAACCCTCCTTCCAAAAGAGCCGATGAGGGGACAGGGCTTCAACATGCTAATGCTGGTGGGGGCACAATTCAGTCTATAGCACCCCTGACCCTGACACATCAATGCTCCTTGTCACCGTGATACACCATCCTTTCCAAAAAAATAAATAAGTTTTGAGGAAGCTGTGTGGGCAGAGTGGCTGGTGAATAGCAAGGCTGACTCAGTTCACTAGGCTGTATCATTTTTGCCATCTAACTCCTAAAAATAGCTTTTCCAGGTGGCCCCTGAAAAAGTATAAGGCAGAAATTTCTCAGGGAGTTTGTAGGGCTTGACAGAGTAAGGGAGGGGCTGTTTTGCGGAAAGCATCTGTGGCTACCTGAGCAAAAGCTGGCTCTGAACATGTAAAGTGGGGTAAACAGGAAAAATGGACTCCAAGGGGCCATCACCTACACCATGGAACTGAGGGGTACACCACCCCGACGGAATTCTGGCCAGGCTCACTGACATGATGCTGAAACTACAATTTCACCACTAACAATGTATGCCACTGGGTCAAAGAAAAGAGATCCATATAGTTGTCAGCTGATAGAAAATGGAAGGAGAAGAGACCATTTCTTGTCATGTTTTCCTAGAGTGTAAGAGCCTGAAGAGAAGAAACTGCATTGTTGACTTTGAATGCCCACTGCACTTAACACAGCCACAGCACCGTGGCCAAAAACAGGTGCTCGGTATGTCCAGAATAACTAACCATTAGCCAAATGATTTGGATTTCTTTTGCATCCACATACCAAGTGTTGAAAAGAAGCTGTTAACCTTATTGTTATTTATGCCATCAAGTATATTTGTCCATTTCATTTTCCCTGCCAGAGCCAAGCTGAGAATGGATGCCCTACAAGGCCAAGCATTAAAACAGCCCCAAACAGTCACACGTGTGTTCAGCTCTGCCTAGTCCCCCTCCCCCACGGTGTGACTGTTTCTAATAATAGAATACAAGCTGCTTTCTATTCGTTGTGGATATAACTGGAAATTATTCTGGGCCACCAGAAAAGCACAACTGATAAGCAATTCACATTGCAAATAAGTTGACTGTTCAGAATTCCAACCACGGATTTGTTTACTGTGTTTTCTGATTGTTTTTATAACCAACAGCTAAATTTTCTTTTCTTCAGCTCGCATCTCTCCACTACAGGAGTAGAAAAGTGAGCAAGTTAACAGGTGAAAGGAAGGACCTGCTCTCCAGGCACAGACGTAGAGTGTTAGGCTGATGGAGCGGTGAGAACAGAGCCTGGTTATTTGTGCCTCATACCAGCCTAACCCATGGGCTCTTCTCTAAATGCTGGGGTGTGTTTCCTGGCATGGTCAGGGTACACCTGGCTGCAGGAACAGAACATAGATTCCCCATCAAATTAGCTCAGGAAACAGGCTCTGTTCAAAAAATACATCCCTTGTGGAATCCATGGAAAAGCATGAGAAAATGAAAACAGGAAAACCAGGACTCAGAGAACAAAGTAGGCTTTCTCTGGGCCCTTTGCAGCTGATGTTTTCATACCTTAAACCCAGCTTCACAGTTAAGCTGTCTGTGCTCTTGACTCCCTGTCCTCTGAGACTTAGCCCCTTGCTACCCCAAGTGTGGTCCTGGAACCAGCCATCTTGGCATTGCCTGGGAACTTGTCAGAAGTGGAGAATCTCAGGTCTCACACCTGCACCACCAAATCAAGATCTGTATCTTAGCAAGATCCCAGATGAGTGGAGGGGAAGACTGGGGTGGGGGCGGGGGAGAGAGAAAGAAGGAGAGAGAGAGATAGAGACTCTGTGGTCTCACCACGGCTGAGGTAATGTGCTACCCAGTGGAATTCTGGTGAAGTGAATGAACCAAGGTTACAGGCATGAGGAGCGGTTAGGTATGGCAGGCAAACTGGCTCCACTGACCATGTGAAATGTGTTTCTGAGGTTCCCTGAGCCTGTGTCCATGTTGAATGCTTAGCCCCCCACAGAGTCTACTTTGTGGACGAATTGTTACCACCTTTATGCACATCTCCTGCAATTAGGCATCCTTATTTCTCAGGTGACTAGAAATGTCAACTGGCATTAGCAGAGTGAATGTTGGGCCCTTTTGTGAACCCTTTTGTCACACGAGGAAAATGAATGCAATGCGCGCATAAAACAAAAGAGAAATGGGAGCTCTTTATAATTCTTACCACTTCACTGATCCAGTAATGAGCTCTCATGACCTCCTTTCTTCTCTAAAATCTGAATCCCTGCAAAGCCGTATCTTCACTGATGCTTTAATCCCAGGTGGAAGTTTCCATACCTGGAGGTACAGAACAGAGCTGTGTGTCATCTTCTCCTCAGGATTTAAATCTAACTTGAGCGGGCAAGCCTGTGGGTAGCTAATTAATAGATTTTTTTTTTTTACAATTGCATGCACCTGACATTATTCTGATTAAATTTCCAAGCCAATTAAAAATGATACCAAAATGTTGGCAAGCATTTTTTCCTGCTTTGAGGAGCAGAGAAGTGGCTGGGGAAGCCCCCAAGCAAGTTCCTGAGCTGAGAGAAACAAAAAATGAGAGGACATTGTGGGCACAGGGTCAGAAACAAGCTAGGCTGGCTCTCTCTTTCTCTCTTTCTCTCTTTCTCTCTCTCTCCCTCTCTCTCCCTCCCCCCCCCACCTCTGTCACCCCACACAAGCACTAATCGTTCTGTGCTCTAGTTTTCCATACCCAGAAATTTCTGGTTCTTTTCTGCTACCAGCCAGAAATGCACAGACACCTCCAGGATCCCAGGATCCCCTGTGATCAGCACCTGTTCACCCGCCCTGCTCCCAAACCCCTGCCCTGAACTCCTGAGATTCCTGCCCTCAAACACCCTCCTTGTTAAAAGAGACACTGGCCTTAACTCCCTTCTGTTAAAGATGTCAGAGGCTGCAGCCAGTAAAGAGAGATTAGGACCTAATGGAGGTGCTCTCCTTGATGTCACTTTACAAAGACATAAATATAAGGAAACAAAGGAAAGGAAAAGTTCAAAGAAACATTTGTTCAAACAATTCTCAGAACAGTATCTTTAGGTTGATGTTTTTTCTTTTTCTTTTTCTTTTTTTTTT